AATCTTCACAAGAAAGGGTATGATGCATCTGGTGAATACGATGAAGAGATAACTAATGAGACAGAATTTTCAGATGATGAGAAAGAGGCGGAGCACAAGAGTATGTTAAAAATGTCAAAGAGGGGAGTTAGTGATGAGAAATCTGGAAAAAACAAAAACAATAGAAGGAAGGTGAAAAATAGGGGTGGTGGTTGGAAGAATAATAAACCTTTGGGGGAGCAAATGCCAACTGGTGTAGATCACCTACCACCTGATCAAAATTTGCGTAATGACTCTGCTGTTGGAACATCATTGGCCCCAGTGCCTCAGACAACTGGTGTTTATGCACCTTCAAATGGTGTATGGGCGAATATGGTCCCATCTCAGCAGCCTCAGGCTTTAGCAATTCCAGGTGGGTTTCCGGCTAATAATATGCCTTGGCCTGTACAGAGTCAGCTTCAGCATCCCTATCAGATACCTATGGCAAATGGGATGCCAATTCAGCAACAGTTCAATCCTGGTCAGAGATTGCTTCCCAATGCTTTGTTAGCAGGCGGACAACCAAATTTCTTTGCTGGACCTGCATATCCTCCACCATGGCCTGTAGTGGGAGCACACTACTTTAACCAAGCTGCATTTGGAACAGGATTTCAGGTTCAACCTAATCCTCCAGCTATGAATGTGGTAGACCAAGGAATGATATCCACTGGACCGCCTTTAGGACAGAACTGTAGTTTCCAACCACCAGCCATCCCTCCTGGCAACATACAAGCTCCTCAGCAATTCAATGCAGGAGCCTCTTCCAGCCATGGAAGAAAACCTTATCGTAGAGGGGGCGGTCGTTTTTCACGTGGGAGAGGTAGACAGCCACCAAACTGATTTTTGTCATGTTTACATTTGCACTGTAACATGTTGAGCTGTAACTTGAAATAGGCTATGAGTGGACCTGCAGTGCACTGCAGGCTCGCCTCCTGTGTAAATTATTTTACGTTAATGGATGTCAGAGAAAATGTTTGCTACGTTGCTCGTCTGGTGGACTTACCTCAATTACAGTTGATGCTGCAGTATCCCCTTTCACGTTTAGTTCTTTATTATAATATAATTATAATGGTATTTAAGAATTGTTGTTTGGCTTTCGTTGAGGGGGAAGCTCGTCTGCTGGTGCAAGGGGAGTGGTGATAATGGTTGCTCATGGTTGGTTCATGGTGGTTGGGAGATTCTAAGAGAACCTTGGCATCAAGTTTCGGGCTCAATATATGCATGGATCTGGATTGTATCTTGTGGTCTAGGAGATTCTTTCTTCAAATCTTAATCCGTGCAAAATTTGGTATGCTCCTTGGGAGTGGTGCTTCTTGTTGTCTTCTGTGCAAGCCCAAATGCCTTCTCTCCCTCCCTCCCTCCCTCCCTCCCCATTCAGCTCCCACATTCCTATATTTGTGCAAGCTTCTTCATAGGCCATAGCGTGTTGGATAAAATATAAAATAGAAGTGGAGAGGACATGACAGTGATGCAAACTAGACTACTGTTTTGTTTTACGTCTGGTGAGCGTGGGATCAGAACAACATACTATAAGAACAAACGTATCCTTATAAATATAAAAACTATACATGTATTATAAGTACAAGGCCAAGGTATTTTTTCATTTATAGTTATATTTTTTACTTGTCATAAAAAAACATATTGATAACTTCTACATATTAATTTATTTGTATTAAAAAAATTATTTAACCTCTAACAAACGAGTCGAATAAACACATTAGTATTTTTTCTATATTTATTTTTGTAAATGATTATTGATTTATTTAATTAAATACACAAAAAATTTTTATTTATAATTGGGGTTTTTGTTGTAAGAAAATAGAATAACTAGTAATATTCTAATTCTTTTATTTTTCTTAAATAATATTTATTTTAATTATCTTTTTTATTTTTTTAATTTTAGTTATTTTCATTAAAATATACATGACAAAAAAGTTCATAGTCCAAAAAAAGGAAATATAATTTCAAATCTTAAGAGAAATTAGTATAAATAGTATATAAAAGTAGTTCATTCCCGTGCTCCACCATGGATAGGACCCAAAAAAAAAAAAAAACTTTTTAAACGTTGCAAAAATATATATATATTAAAATTATGGGGAATTTTTATTAATCTAATTAAGTTAATCAATTTTAAAATCTCCTGATTTAGTTATTTATTTGGTTTAAATTTTAAATTAAATATTTTTATATATAAATTAGTTGATTTCACATATTCAAAAACAACTTTAAACAACTAACAAAAACATAACCTAACTTTTTAAAAAAATTAAAAATATAAATTTAAAAAATAAAAAATAAAATGATGATATATTAAATCAATTTAGATTAATCCTAGTTATAAATCTTAATGGATAAACATTTTATCAAAATATAATAATTAAAAATTTATTTATGAGAATAACATAGTTTATCAATACAAGTCTCATATTTGCTATCTTAAAATTACAATTGCAGAGGCATTTTTTCATCCTTTAAGCTTACATTCGAGATATGTGTGCCTCAGTGAATTGTTACATTTTCAAAAATAAATATTCAATATAATATATCCCAGCTTTATTAAATTTGGATGGATTTGATATATTTATTTAAAGTGGTTGAATTAATTTAGATTTGTTAAAAGATAGACTGATATAACGACCCGGCCAAACTCAATCAACCTGACAGGTTAACTCATAATCTAAGAGAGACCCTAGTTTTTTTTTTCGAATGAGGTTTTTTTTTCTATACCTCTTTTTTTATATGTTTTTTTTAGTTAGTTATTAACATCTTTTGAAGCTTACTATATAAATATTATAAAAATATTTTATTTTTTCAATATAAAATTTGAAATCTTTTAATATATATATTCTATGTTTTTAAAAAAAGTTATGTTTTTGCGGGATTTGAAGTTTTTTTGTATATATATTTTATATTCACAAGAAAAAAGTTATGTTTTTTAAATATAAGATAAAAAACTTTTTGATTTAAATACTTGAACTTAAAAGAATAATATAATATATTTACAATGTGGGAATTGAAATCTTTTGGTATATATACTCTATATTTACAAGAAAAAAAATTATGTTTTTTTTAATGTGAGATTTGAAACCCATTAATATCTATACACTCTTATGTTCTAAAAAAATATTTTTTTAAATTTTATTATTTACAACATATATAACCTATATTCATATGATTTTTTTATAAAAAATATTAAAACTTTAATTATTTTTTTTAAATTTTTCTAGCTTTACCCAAATTGATCCTTGAAACTCAAGATCCAGCTCTTTGGTGAAGTAAACACTCGGACAAGGTATGATAACTATGCTTACAAGTGCCAAATACCATCCCCCAGCAACTTGTCTTTCAAAGTCAAAACCAGCCCTTATATTCCTATGGCAATGGAGATTTCCTGCAAGTATAGACATCTTCCTCAGTAGATTCATCCACTCACTTGTGATTTCCTCCCATTTCTGACCAATCTTGGAGAAATTATCACCACCATAGCACTTCAATGGTGCCAAGAACTTCCTAACTAGTTGACTTACAACTGCACCGAATTTCATTTTAGTACTTGATTATAAGTTAGTCTTCAATTTGTTTTTTTTCGGACTTGTTGTTATTCTTTAGTCCCTAGGTTGGTTACATGATTATAACTTTGAGTATCATTGGAAACATGTTTTAGAAATAAATTAAATATTTTTTATATTTTAAATTAATTTTTTTGTATTTTAAAATTATTTTAATATGCTATGTTAAAAATAATTTTTTAAAAATAAAAAATATTTTTTTAAAAAAAATTATTATTATATTTTTAAACAGATTTAAAATAAAAAAATAAATTATTGAGCTTCTTAATTTATTTCCTGAAATGAACCATTTAGCAATTTAAATTTGTAGGAAAACATCTACATGAAAAGATTTTACAGAAAAAAACCGATTGATGTATTGAAAAGACAAGTCACTAGAAATCAATGTACCAAGCCATTATTTTATTTGGGAATATGGTTGAATAATAGTTTTGAAAAAAAATTTAAATTAATAATATTTTAATGTTTTTTATTGTTTTAATACATGTTAAAAATAACAAAAAAAAATTATTTTAATATATTTTTAAATAAAAAATAATTTAAAAAATATTATTCACCACAATATCAAACTCAAAGTATCAAACACAAAGTATATAAATGCAACCAAAACCAATGACTAATAGCCCCTTTTTTTTAAAAAAAAAAAATTGTTTCTAAATCGTGTTGATGTAGCAATGTTAAATAATTTTTAAAAACTAAAATAAAAAATATTTTAAAAAACAATTTCAATCCTTCTAAGACTAGAATTCTTCACCATGTAAAAGACCTGAAAACACAATTTCACCTCAGTTCAACCATCCCCAACAGGGGTATCCCAATAACCCAAAACTTGATTTGGACCATTTTATACATTGACGCAACCACGCTTGATCTTAGACCATTTTCTTCAAACCATTTTGTATCCATACTAGATTTTACTTTAACCTTTAACCTTTTAGATAAAGTAGCGAGCTGACCAAACCAAACTCAAACGACCTGTTCATGTTCAAATGAAACTGAGTCTATTCAGCTTCAAAGAATTTACAATAAAATAACTGACTTGGATTGATTGATGCCTGAATCCTAAACTGGATGACCCTGAACAGACCTGACAACCATGCTTCCAAACATGCAAGTCAATTGTCACAAACCCTTATCTTTCAGTGGCCAGGTGAGCAGGGCTTGAGCCTGTGGCTTAGCAGATGTAACAAGCAAGTCTGTTGGACCTGTAATTACAACTATTTTTTAAAATACATTTAAATAACATTATTATTTTTAAATCATCACATCAAAATAATCCAAAATATATAAAAAAAAAATTAATTTTTAACCAAAAAAAATTAAATTTTTATTTTAAAAAAACAACATTCCCAAACGTTCTCAACTGCCAAGAATTGATGGTGGAAAAGAAACCCTCCGTAGACATGAACATTGAAAAGAAAAAAATAAATGAGATAAATTACTAAATTTCGAGGTTCTATACCAGCCAACGAGCACAGTGAATGCCTATCTCAGAGACTGGAATTTCAGGTTTAACATAAGAGAATGTTGCTCATAGGCTTAACTGTGGGGGCAGGGGATTAAATAAAGCAATAATGCCATGGAAAGGCAACAAATAAAAGGGGGGGATATCAGGACTGCTAAAGCATCACTGTTTTGAACTCAAACTTTTGCATTCCTAGTGAAGTCAGTGCAAGTTTGGCAGCTGCAATCTGAGAAACGACAGATTTCACAACCAAAGCACACACAGGAAGTGCAGCCCTTGCATGTTGGAGAACGGGTGCAACCCCTGTACACCCTTCGACTAGCCCGTTCTTCGTCATCATCACATGTTATTCTGAAATAAGTAAAAAAAAACAAATGAAACCACAACATTAGTTAAATTTCTACTAGCAGACTGCGTGCATGTATGCTAGACCATTGAACTACTAGAAGAAGTCTAGTCAAATTTCTACACTAAAGTTGTGCAAAAGGCGAACTTCAGTCATGCATCAAGTACAAATCTGATAATTGCAAGAACCCACCAATCCATTTAAAACATCTTCCAAATATAAAGAAACTCGAGCACCGATGGAAAAATTGTAGCCCATGAAGAAACACAGGTGCTTTTGCTTCTTCAAAAGACTTAAATGAATAAGTTTCAACTATAGATAATAAAAACAACAGATTGAGTGGGAAAAAAATGCAAAAAACAAAAATTATAAATGTTCCAAATTCTGTAAATGGGATCTCGTATAAGAACTGTCCTTAACGTGAAAATGTTCCAGAAAAGCATAGAGTAGAAAGCATGTCACTGGGACGGGATCTCAAATAAGAACTGTCCTTAACCCTTAATGTGAAAATGTTCCAGAAACACATGAAGTAGAAAGCATGTGACTGGGTTTCCTTCAATTGCATGGCACAAAATTACATCTATAAATGCAGGCTGGCAATTAGGAAAATAGAATTTGTTAAAAACTCCACTATATACAGAGTTTACTTTGTATCCCTCTATGACTATCACTACTGAAATGCTTCCGTGCAGAGGTGCGAAGGTGGCAGTGAAAGGTAGGATGACACCTATGGCTATGTATCAAGACTGGTTCCATTGTCATAATAGAGGATAAGGAATTTTTGTTTAACTTCAGAAATTAAAAGTAAGCATCAATCACATGGGAATACTACTCAACTTTTAAACTAAATGAATTATCATCATATCAAGCACAATTATATCTCTGATCTTTTCATCTTTTCAACATGCTGAAAAAAGGTGCTTAACAGATTTACTGAAACTTTGCAACTAAAAAAATTCAGAGGGGACATGATCTGGCAGATAAACACGCACTTCATGACAGGGCAAATAAGAAATGCTTCGTGAAGAGAACTCTAGGTAAAAAAAATGTCCTGCAAAAGATAAAACACGTGAATCCCCTATCCATTTTAATAAAACATGAAATCCTTCTACAACAACAGATAGTTTGCTCCTTTATTTATGATTTCTCAAGCAAGGATATCTTATCTCTTTAATCCTCTAAATGTACTTTAGCTATCTGTGATACCTATAAATGAGAGTAGTCTATCACTAAGGATAATTTGTTTGACCGGATACCTTGGCCTCATCAAGTGCTGTTGAATGTCTGATCGAAGGTACTTTTATCAATCATGACCTAAAACTAGATTGCATAGAGGCTGATCACGCTGTAATCATATAAGCCTGATCGTATAATATAAACTTTTGTTTTCAAAGCATCAGCATTCTTCTAACACCTAAATCAAACAATATTCCATCTTCTATCATCAATGCCCATCCGAAAAAATTATTCATCCTGTTAGTAGATGATGCGCAAAATCACACATTCTTCACTAGAAGAAAAGAAACAAGAAAGACAGCACAACAAATGAAGTTGAAAATGAATTAAAACAAAGATAGTGATTGGATTCATGACCTCGTTTTGCTCTCTAAAGACAAGAAACTTTACCAGCAAAGAGAACAAGAATGAATCAACGCATGGTTTACTTAAAAATTGCAAACATGTCAAAATCTCCAACATACAGGCATGAAGTGCATGATCAGAATCCAGCTTCCAATGTAAAAGGGAAACTGATTTTAGAATCATCGTTCAAAATGACTAATGACCTGAAACTTCATGAAGGTCAAAATAAAGCAAATCATCAACAATCAGTGATTCAAGGGGAAACTTACTTGTCATATGGCATATCAGCACATTTCCAGTTCTCATCTGCCAAAGCATCATGGTGAATCCGACACTCCTCTTTGGACCGTAACCGAAACCTGCGTTCCTTGTTACATTTATTACAGCGAACAAACTCATCACGATGACAAACTCGTCCATTGTGTGACCTGTGGGATCCATTGCCATTTTTTGAGGCCTGATTGTAGTATTTGAGCAACACAGTCTTTGACAATGGAACCTTCTCCCCATTAACTATGACCCAGACATTGTTCTTCCATTTTCTAGCTGTCTCTCTTCCAGAGTGCTTCTCAAATGCAGCAGGAGTCATCTTGTCTTGCATCAAGATAACCAATCAAACAATTAAAGGAAGCACTTGATATTTCCAGGAAATTAAGCAATCAATAGATCTGAACAAAGATTAAATTAAAGACAAAAAAAAAAAGATGATACTTTAATACAAATATGCTATGATCACATGCACGGAACAAATGAAAAAGCTTCATAGGGTCAAGTCACAGAGAAGAAGACAATGCACGGGGAACATCAATCCATTTTAACATTTAGAGACACCGACTGCCATTTTTTTGAATTGCTGTGAAGTTACAATGTGACTAAGACATTAGAAATAAGTATAACTGGATTATTGTACCAGACAATATACCACATTCTTCTGCAAGAGCCACAGGATAGCCAATGGAGCACAGACGAACAGTTGCATAAACGTGGCCCTAAAAGTTATCAGGTAAGTCCAGCAGAAGGTGTTTCACTAATGAGAAATGAAGATAAACAGTGTGAATACTTTCTCCTTTCAGTTAAGACCACAAGAGTTATTCTTGCGAACAAAATGCATTCCCCTTTCTACGAACCTAACTCTCTTTTAAGGGCTAGAAACTGCCCTTCCTGTAACAACTTTCAGTATCAAGCCCTTGCAAGACTCCATTACTGAACAGATTTTGAAACCTCCACCTATACCATACCAAGTTATCAATTCTTTAATCGGCTCTGAGGAGTCACAGGCACAGGTTAGACCACCTTTCCAGTTGCACCGTGACAGGAAAAAAAATTCGGCAATGTGAAAGAAGATAGATCCTGAGTTGTCAGAAGATGTATCCTAACTTAGCACTACGTAACCAGAAGTACATGCACACAGAAGACCACATCCAACTTAAGCATTAGTGTGCATGATAGCCCTTTAGAAGTCAGCTTCCTAGTTTGACCCCAACCAGCAGCCATCCTTGTACAAAAAACCATAGTTCTCTTCACATAGTCAACCTTGAATTTGCACATAATCTAAAGCAATAACAGTAAAGGTAGAGAGCTGTAAGGATAGAGTGGCCAGAGAGGGTACTATAAAGTACATAGAAGAGTGCCATACACAAAGGCTTACTCTGTCCAACAGGAAGAGCAGAATTCTGGTATCAAAAAACCAAACCTTAGAACATCAAAGTCAACCATTGCAATCAAAACAACAAAAGCCATGCAACTCTCATTGTAAAGAAGATCACTCAAAAGACCAGTTCTTGAATCAAAACACAAGCTGTAGTTCAATCTGAACCAGAAAAAATCAACATAGACAAGTCCACAGACAAAACTGCATTATCTATTTGAGCAATGGCATGCACAACTCACTCTTTCAGACAAAACAACATACACTTAGAGACTGTAATAATAACACAAAACAAAATTCAAACCATTCAACTGGCAAAGGATCTTTATCACTCTTGATTAAACAAAAGACAGTGACATCCATCAACGTCAAAACACACACACACAAGACCTATTCAACATGCATAAAAATCAGACCCCGGTTCATTAAAACACTTCATAAAAATTTTAAAAACCAAGACAAAGACTTTTTAAGAAAAGAGACCTTCATCACAACCAGGAGTGCATTCACATGTGATTTCAAGTTCACCATTGATAAAAACCCTAAGCCTACCAACAGCATCACCATATCTATGGCTAGTACACCCACACATCACTTCTATGTAATCTCCACCTCTCTTGACCCCACTCATCTCTCTCAACTCTTCTTCACTAAACAACAACACCATCTCTCTTTCAGCTCCATTAGCCATTTTTGCTCACCCTCTCAAAAGCTCTTCCTCTCCGCTTCCTCTCAGAAAAACAGATAAAACCCAGATGTCAAAATGGGATCTTAAGGTTAAAACCACCTAACAAATCAAGAAAAGATAGGATTTTGAGTCATGGGTATTGAAAGATATCAAACCCCCAGATAACCACAAGGGTTAAAAAGCCAAAAAAGACAGAAAGTCTCAAACTTTCTCAAGAAACACGCATCTCCAAGAGATCTGATGGAGAAAACGTTGAAAGTGTCATCAGATAAATAGAGAGGAGCGGAGTTGGTGTTTTTGGTGGTTTTGGAGAGATAAATAGAGAAAGAGCGAGAGAGAAAGAGGATGAGCTGGCTATTATGTGCGTGTTTGGTAGTGAATTTTAAAAAATGTTATTTTAAAACAATTATATATTAAGATAATATTTTTAAATTAAAAAAAACAATTAATTTATCAAAATTATTGAGAAATACGAAAAAAATACTAATTCAATAATATCTTAGAATAAACACTAAAATGGCATTTGAAAATATAACAACGTTATTTTTTAAGATATTTTTTCTAAAAAAACATCAAAATAATTATAAACTGTCCCTGAGAGAGAAGCAAGTGTCGCGGGGGCGTCTGTGAGAGAGAAAGGCAAGGTTGAAGAGCCCTTTTCATGTGCTAGAAAGAGTGCTATTTGCTATTTGCTATTCTTGCTTGCTGCATGACATGACACGAGAGAAGAAAATAAATACTTTTGTGTGTGCGTCTATATGTATATATATATTAGAGAGAGAAATTTGGCAGGATAGAGAGGTGGGGCGGGGAGTTGGGGTCAGCCAGGAAGGATGGTGGGGTTTATGGGGGGCATGGGAAGGACGATGGGAGAAAACGAGGCTTATTTACCAGGCATTTGAGGAAGATTCGGCTTGTGTTGATGAGGATTCACTCTTTACTATGATTTTTATTTTTATTTTTTAATTTGGATGGCATGAGGTCTTTTAAACACCGATTCTCTGATTAATTAACATGAAAACTTTGCTCTAATTGAATCTTAAACTAAACAGATGATCATTAATATGATAAAAACAGTATCTTTTTGGTTCGTGTTAAATTTGATAACTTCGATTTTAAGATGATTTTTACATTATTTGAAATTAAATATCTTTTGAGTGTGTTTTATATGGATTAAAGAAGTGGATTCTTTTAAATTTACAAAATGTAAACTCATAGAATCAAGAAAAATGGCTACGATCTTTAGACCACAAGCCCTGCCTGTTAACTTTTACTGTGCTGTACCTTCTTTTTTTAGGTTAGAGTCGTGTTTTTGGTTTTCCAAGCTCTGCCTTTTTGGTGTGGTTGGCTTTGCACTGTTTCCAGGTAGGGTTTTTTCTCTCTTTTTTTCCCTGTTTTACCTGGGAGGTTTTGTGATTCGCGCCAAGAAACTTGTGGGAGGAGTAGGGCTGGAGAAGGTGACCAATGTGTTGATCTGCCCTGGAATACGTTATAGAATAATCACCACACAATTTCATTGAATGCATTGCAGAATATATCTATTCATTAACCTGGCAAGAGCAAAAGAACTGTTTACTACAAAGTTCGTAGTACAAACTAGCCACCAACACCCTTCAATCTCCTTTTCATCTCGAAAAGAAAAATGAGAGCAATTATTATTATATGAAGACAAATATATTGAGGCTGTAGCCATGTTAGCCATGAATTTGTGCAAGTGGAACCAACAACATAACATAGCAGTCAGTAGTCTCGATGTTTGAAAATGGTGCCCATGAGGACTAGTCATTGTTTTCTTTATTTTTTTTTATAGACATGCATATCAAAACTTGAATATATGGCAATAAAATGAGATAAATTCCTTTTATTGTTAAGTCAAGTACTGGAATACGATGAAATAAGACAAACTCTTTTCATCACTAGATCAAGCATTGGAATGCAGACTAGTCATCTTCTTATTTACTTTGATGGTTGTTATTTGGTTTCAAAGGTTTTGATTCGCAACGAGTGTGACATCTTCTAATTTTAGATATATTTTATTTAAAAATAAATAAATTAGAGTTTTTTAATGTTTTGTGATGATTTTAATATATTAATGATTAAAAAATTATTTTAATATATTTTTAAATAAAAAATACTCTTAAAAATCGTAATATTACGTGTGGTGGAGATTTTAGTTGAATTGTCTATTGCAAGGCCAACCAGAACCCCTTTTAGTGGCCACAATATTGGGTAAGATGAAAAGGAAACCTCCAACACTACAATGACCTCAAATCACCGTGACAGGCATCCTTTCCATTTATTTTATGTGGATAATTGATGGCAAGGATTGGTAATTCTGATATGATTATTTAAAAATTAAAATGGAACTGCAAAAGAATATCCACGTTAAGATATATATACATATATATATATATATAATTTGAGATAAAAAATATATTCAAGTGACAAAAATATGAAAAATCTAAGAACATTTTTAACCCCAATCGCAATGCTTTACTTTATCAGACAGAATTTTAATGAAAGAATCACCTTGCTTTACTATGCCTAAACTAATCTAAATAGACCTTTACCATTAAAAAAACTTACAGTTAAGGAGGGAGTTTAAGATGTGTACTTTGATTAATTTGTTAAATTAAAAATAATAATTTAAAAATGAACAATAAAATAATAAAAAAAAACTATTAAATTCAAATCTAATGATGAAATATAATATTAGCATAGCAGCAATCTCATAGTTGGTAGCACATTACTATAGACCAGACCAAGCTCTACTTCACGGTAGCTTATTTAATAGTTTTTTAAAAAAAAATTAAGAAAGGTTTTAAATTTAACAATTATATATTTTTTTAATTATAATATATAATAGTATGATTAAAATAAAATAGGTACGATGATGTAAGGGAGTGGTATCACCTTGCACACCACACATGACTACTAACTATGTGTTTAATAACGTAATCCATAAATTTTTTTTAAGAATAATTTTTATTTAAATATATTTAAAAAATTTAAATATTAACACATTAAAATTATAAAAATAGTAATAATATTTTTAAAATAAAATATACTTTTAAAATACATTAAAAAGACAAAAGCTATACCAATCAAGAACTGCGGAGCTTATTAAAATTTGTAAAGATTCTCAACACTAATTTAATTAGATAAGGAATATAATAAATAATTTGAAGAGCACTTGCTTTATATCCAAGCTAGCCTTTCCCATGGTCCTTGTTAGGACAAAAAACAATAATTTTTGTATGTCTGACAAAGGACAATAATCAAATGATTATAACATATAATAAGATCTGATTATATATATATATATATATATATATGTTCAACTCTTTTATTCTTGAAGTTATAGGGCTCATTGTTCATGGTTGCCAAGTTGTGTCATCGTTGAAGCCAACAAAATAAAGCTTGTCATGAGTCATGATCAACTTGGAGCTAGCTAGCCAAGTTGGATGCACTTCTTCTGTTCATGAGGTCATGTTTCTAGCTTTTCCCACTTTCCTTTAATTTTTATTTTTTCCTTAAAGAAAAGGTAAACCTATAATTTATTGCAAAAAGAAGAAGAAAAAACTACAATGACAAGATGATAATTAATGGTTATCATCTCCAAAAAAAAAAAATAGAGACTATTGAAACACATAAAACATGTTATTGTTTTAAAAATACTTAAATTTATTTTAATTTTTTCATGAATATATTTATTCTTATGTTTTATCCATGGATATCAAATAATAATAACATGAGAATAGAAATCAGGGAAGAAAATTAAAGAATAAAGATTTCATTTTAAAAAAGCATTTCGTTTTAATTAAAATATAAATTAATTTGAAAATAATTTTTTATCCTTAAGTAGAGGTGATCAAAAAACTGGAAAATCAATTAAACTAAAAAAATCAAATAAAAAAAATTAAGTTAACCTATTAGAAAACAAAAAAAAATGATTTTATTTTATTTCGGTTTTAAAAGTCTAAAATTGATTAAACTGAACCCGGTTTAGTTCTAAGTTTCAACCATATTTCAAATTTAGATATAAAAAACTTATTTTTTATTTTTTGATAAAATCCTAATCTTCTACTATTATTTTCTTCTGCAACCAACTCTCCCCTTCCTCCTTCCCCTCCCCCCCTTTTCTCTTTAATTTCTTAGTTTTGTGATGTTAGAAAAGAAAAACTCAAGTATTTTTTTCATTGTTTACTTACTTGTATTTATTAAGAAAATAAATTTGGGTTTTAAATGTTTTTTTTTCATGAATTTCTTGAATTATTTGTGAGTAGATAAAAAAATTACTTTCAAATATATGCTTTGATTTCTGTAACTTGGCTTAATATTGAATTTTTTTATTAATTTTTTGTGCCTGAACTCTTAAGGTATTTGTTTATTGGATTTATAAAGGAAAAACAACTTGGTTTTCTATTAGGGAAAGCGTTTTCTTATTGCCTTTTATCATCTTATTTTGTTATATTTTGTTATAATTTTGTTTGAAATTCTCATTTGATTGTTGATAATTACCTAACCAGCAACAACAATCAATTAGTGTGTATTTGTTTTAGAGGTAAGAGTTGTGGTTTGAGGTGGAATCCATTAAAAAAGTTATAAAAAACAAAAAATATTAGCTTTTGTGGTTGAGTTTTGTGCATAAATGGGTTGTACCCAACCACAATCTCAACCACAAAAGCTAAAACAAACACTCCCTTAATCAGTTTTAAAAAAAATAAATCGAACCAAAATAATCGGTTTGAATCAACTAGTCAGTTCAATTCGGTTTAAAATTTAAAAAATATAAATTTTGATTTGGTTAGTATTTTTGATTTAAAACTAAACCAAAAATAACTATCTCTATTTTTAAATAAATAAAAATATTAAAAATAAAATTTAAAAAAAATCTCTAAATGTTTTTTAACCAGTCAGCCATATAATATATTCTCACAATCTTGTATATATCCTCCGCATTCAATTAGATAAAACTAATGATTGGGGGTATATTAGTGATTTGATTTTAAGATATTTTTTATTTATAAATATATTAAAATAATATTTTTAAAATTTATTTTTAATTTTAATATATTAAAACAATAATGTGTGTGTATAAAATAATAACTTTAAATATAAAAAAATTGACCCATTTCCGTCTCAAACGGGGAACTCACACCAATGATTAGTAGTCAAAGGTAAGAGGATATTTATTGTCCTTCGATCACAAACTAGGTCGGTAGGGCCTTTTTTTTTCGTTTTTTGTTTGAATCATAGTTTTCGCCATGAAGATGAACATGTTCTTAGGTACAAGATATCATGTGGTAGTTTTAGGTTCGCTGAATCACACTATACGTAATAATTTTCAAACTA